TAAACACACACACACACACACACACACACTTTATCCAACTAAAGTGTATAAGCTTAAGAAGTCTAGTTGGAAATTTATTGAAGCATTGCATAACATAAATATGCACTTCCTTAAGAAAGTCAAAGGGTATTTATTTCTAGAAGTCCAACTGATTTTTAGGTACATGTCAAAGAAAGTGGGAACATAATTGTATATTGATAATACTATTCATAGGGAACAATGTCTCTAATTTGCAAATTGGAATGTTTGGGAAATTTTTCGCTATAATGGACTTAAGGGAGAGGGCACTCATAATTCGATTTGAATCTAGAGGTTTAGATTGTATAGTTTAACAGAACTTAGTCAAAGACATATATGAATATCATGTTGAAATGTTTCAACATAGGAGATTCGATATATAGAAATATTATAGCAAGGAATTGAATAGATATCAAATCCTTGAATAGGACATAATGAGTCGAGTCACATATGCTTCATATATAGGATGGATCACATATGTTATATTTATTCTAAATATTTCAAATGCATTGAGCATTGTGAGAAAAAGATTAGAATTTTGTGTGACTAAAGTTGATATGCAACTGTCAAGAGCATTATGAGGTTTACCAAAGACTGGTTGCTTATGGACAGTTGGGAGTATGATATTGTTAGGACAGACCATTGTGATATGTTTTGGAATGGGATGATTCTTGGTCAGAATTGATGGTCATATGGAAATATGAAAATATTTCCATAATGGGAGATGGTTGAATAAAAAAATCTACATGTGAGTTGGAAACTTTAATGAAAGAGAAGTGTTCAAGGGGTGTACCTTGAATTTGAGACTTCATATCCATAGAATTGTTTCAAGTAAGAAGTTCCAATGACACATTTTGTATGATCGAAGGCTCAGTCTATGTGATTTTTGAACCTCAACATAACGGGAGGCCAGTGCATGTAAAGTTGGAATTCCACTACATCTTGGATGGTGATAAGAATTTAGAATTGTGAAACAAGCATCATATGGATAATGTCCAGTCGATCCGTTCTGAGAGGAAGGCACACAGAGAGGCATAGTATGCATGTTCATAACATGACATGATTGATGTTATTTGATTCAAGTGGTTAGTTGATTACTTGAAACATTATACAATGAATAAATTCATAATTGTTATGGTGATTAAATAATAAAGATTTATGTATATTCAAGGGTTATGATATCATAGTTAATTAGTTTATTATTGTGTTTCAATTTGCATGTTTTACTTCCTTAAGTAATTTAAATATTATTCAAAATTTAACAGACACTCATGCTTTTGGAAGTAAGTAATGAATTAAGACTGTCATGAATCTGTTGTAGATTGTCCATAGGGATTGGATATTACATGGGATTGCTACAATATTCATGAGTACTTTGAAAATAGAGATTTTAAGTATTGGATAAACCAACGCTTAGAGATTACTTCATGGATTCGATAACAAGTAATTATATACGATAATATCTACTATTCTTCAAACGGAGATACATAAGTTGTAATGTGTAGGTCAGTTGTGCATTAGTATTGTGCAAACACATCAGTAACCATATGTTATAAAACGCAGTATCATGTATCATTTAATGAGTAAAGGTTACATTTATGTAGTCAAGGTTTATTTATTCCTTTTTCCTTAATAGGAAAAGCGATATCTTTGGGCACTTCGGTGATTTGAGTTGGTCTATGAAAACCAGGTGTCAGGTCTGGACTAAATTGACATGTTTGATTTTGTAGTCTGAAATTTGATCACAATCGGGAAATCAGGAAACAAATAAATGAACATGAGGTTGATCATTTAATCCATGAATCTGTTTATACAATATCTTGTAGAATAAAAGAATAGTCGATCGCTTATCTTAGAGCCAACGTTTGATTTGAATCGGAGTTCAACAATGGCTTTGGAAAGCACTCTTTGTTGTTTGGTTCAAGGTTATACTTGCAATTATAGTTATATCTTATCTAAGTGGGAGACTCTTGGATTATGGTGTCTAAGCTTATAACTAAATTAGTATATTCTTCTAATTAGAAGCAAAGTCCTTTTGGGTTGCTCTCATAACTAGAAAAGTTGGTTAGAATGACATTTGTAGAGAGAGGATAAATTTATTAAATTATTATATGATTAATAAATTGTAAAAAGTGATTTGTTACAATATTATATGATTAATATATTAATTGGGTATAGATAGTTGATTTGTTAATTTACTATGTGATTAATAAATTAATATGAAGTCAGTAGTTATATAATTGATTTGTCAATTTATATGACTAATGAACTAATTTGTAATAAATTAGAATTGGTTAATTATTAATTAGAATTAATTCGTGAATAATTAGAATTAATTAATGGTGCAAGGATTGAGCTGTAATTGTTTAATAGTTGAACAAATGAGAGGATCTAGAAACCTCCATCATATGGACAGTTTTAAGGACCCTATTAGGGTTTCTATAAGTCTCCAAATGATAATTAGGAAACTAGATAATTGTCTGATTTGAAATATTATTATTATATGTTCAAATTTATGGATTTTTAGGGTTTCCTTACAACTATAAATAGGACTCGTGGGTCAACTATTTTTGTTTACTTCTTTACCTAGAGAAATTTTAATTTCTCATGCTCTCATCCTCTTTCCTCTTGTCTTTTAGTTATAGGGTTTGGGTATGAGCCATTAGAGACATCATCTTTTTGGTTCTTAGCTTTCCAAGACCAACAACTACAAAAGATTGAAGTGATTTGTTTACTACAACAAATCAAAGGTATGTAACCCTAACTTGGTGTTTTGATTACATTAGGGTTCATGTTACTTTTGTTGTTCATAGTATGTTGGTTCAAAGTGTTATGACATAGATCCTTTAGGTTGCATGTGCCTTTAAGTGTAAGTGAAATTCTGCAAGAACATTGTTTTGTAACCTATAAAACCAATCAAAATAAACATTACCATTGCATGTTTCACGCGTCATAACTCTATAAGGAAATAAGGTTTGAGCAATTAGTTCTTTACATAATACGAGCAGCCCAATATGTCATTTCAAATTATATGGAATTAATAATTTCAAAAAACTGTTATTGTGGTTGTATTAATTATATTTTAGTGTTGTAAAACTATATTTATTTAAATTTCTGTCTTGAAAAACTCTTTGGTTAAAAAGTCAGTTTATTTATATATTTCATTTTGTTCTAACAGCGTGCAAATGCTAAAAAAACAAATAATATTCTTCTTGCAGTCTGCAAATGTTTAGCCCATATCTTCTTCTGCATATGTCTATAGATGTGGTACGTATATTGCAAACTTTTTACCTCTTAAAAAACAAACAACACCCTAATATCCATTACAAGATTTTTTTTGTAATGGCTAGAAGATACAAGATTTTGGGCTTAAAAAACAAACAACACCCTATCGCACCATGTTTTAATTTATAGTATTTTGTATATCCTAAAGTTTTTCTATGGCTTTTGGTTGATGTTCTTGTAACTCTCATTTTGGACATGTCTCCATTTATGTTGTATGTTGGACCGGACTTTCGTTTTAGACTATAATTAACTTTATTGTGAATAATGTCCTAATTAAGTGCATGCTAATTAAGGATGAGCATTTGACTCGGTAGAACCAGATCGGACCAGAAAAAAAAATTTGGAACCAGGGTATTAGGTTAGGTTCTTGGTTCTCTATTTCCTACTAAACCTAGTCTCGGTTGTCCGGTTAACGGTCTGATTCGTGCCAGTTCCATAACGAAAAACATCTTTAAATAACACAGTTACTTGTAGAACCGAACCAGAACCGGTGTATTCGGTCAGGTTCCCAATTCTTCATTTCCTACAAAATCGGTTTCTAGTTCTTCGATTCTCGGTCTGGGACAGGACCGATGTTCGTCCCTATTGCTAATCCTTAAGATAAGTTGTGGGGTGCTACAAAAAAATGATGATTAATTGTGTAATTAAGCATTGATTATTTTTTCTTTGGTATCTAGCTAGAAGCTAAACAGTAAAATGTAATTTTGCATGGAAATTAGGGATTTCAAAAGGACATTGTCAATATAAGAAAACGTTGGAAAACAATTTCTTATTTCAATTGTGTTTCTAAGGGCCAAATGGAGACAGATTGGAATAATTAAAAACGTTTTCTTAGTTTAGAAATTAAAGAAAACGATTTATGTTTATTAGAAAAAAGCAATTTTTTATTTGATGGAAACGAAGAAGTTACGTTTTACATTCATATTAGAATTGGGAATGACCATTTTCTTAATTAATAACTATAGAAGACCAAATAGGGACATCAACCCTTATGCCAACGTGTTACATTATTTTTTGAGTATGATTCACATGTAAAAGTTTTTCCAAAAGGCGGCATTAATGGTGGTACCCTTGAGGTGGACAAGTTTAGTTCGTCATATGAAACACATACCCAACCTTACCTCAGACCACTAGCTAGTAAAGCTAACAACATTAGTAAACGAGATAATTAACATGTTCTCTTACGTTGAAGAGGCCGCATGAGCCACGAAAATGGGGTCTTGCATGTACATCAATACATAGATGCATATTAATGAAGGATGGTAAAGATTTATGCCTGCACAAGAGGGAGGTGATGAACCTAAAAGGGTGAACAAAATTTGAACATTTTAGTCATGGCATATTCATGTTTATTAATCACCCGCTTAAATGTTTTCTAATTAAATAATTAAGCACTTTAACATATACTAATTAGTTATTGAATATTTATTTAATTACTTATATCAAAAACAGCCAAAAAGGCCATGCATTTGCTTGATCAATCATGATTTCTCATCTGTATTTTATTGTCAAGCATCAAGTGAAAGGAATGTACAAGCAATGGTGGTCAGAAGCCATCCATTTGAAGGCTTTGGTGGGTTTCCTTTGCATGGGAGCTCTCTTTCTTTCAGATTTTCATGTGATCGATTACACACACACATATACATAAGTAAAGAAAATAGAAAATTAGTTTGTATTTAACATCAAATTCCTACATCCACAAGTCATTTGTTGCATTGATACTATCAGAACTCAGAAGTATTTTTCTGGATAAATAAAATATAGAAAATGGACAATAAGCAAAACATATCAGGTCCTCTAACTCTTTTGGGTCCCTTAATATCCTTTTAGCCTATTTTTTCCTTAATTTGGGTAACTAATATCGTCGAAATCGTCCAATGATAAGAAAACTTCATCCAAACATGAAAGCTCCGTGCCATTCTCATTGTCGTCGTCACTGTCATAACTATGATCGAACACTCGGCATATTACCCACTTGCTAGAATCCTAAAAAATATAGGATATTAAAGCATTATAAATAAAATAGAAAGTAAACATGTATACTAAGTATCTTTAAAAGTATCTTTAAGTATCCACAATTAAATAGATTTTCAAAATATGTTTTTATCAAATTTATTTCGTTAGCCACTTAGTAGTTCCTAAAAATGATAATTAAAATGTCTAAAAACTTACAAATTAAAAAGAACAACTATCTTCAAACACTATTCGACATTATGTTTTTGTTGAATACATTAATTGATTAGCTAATTATCAAAAACCCTAAAAATGTTAATTTAAATGTTGAGAAACATGTAAAGTAGGGTAAAAAAAATCAATGTTTTGAGTATTCGCTGATTATCCAACAAAAAAAAAAAAAAAAAAAGAATGTTGATGACTTACTACTTTGGAGTGGCCTTTTCTTTTTGATCTACCACAGCTACTGCTACTGCTACCGGATGAATTAGAACCATCAGAAAGCCTAAATTCCTGCATTATCCAATTAGTTTTGACACCTTCAGGAGCTTCACCAATATGAAACACATAATATTTCTTCACACCAACTCGTTTGCTACTACTTGAACTAATAATTTGTTCATCACAGTCCCATGCTTTCCAATATCCGTTGGTGGTTATTCGATTTTGTGTTCTCCTGCTGTAATAATACCACTTTTTCCCTTCCACCATGGCTTTACCTGCAAGCCAACCACAACCATGCATATACTTTCTCTATTATTATTTCCAAAAATAGTGCATGTTAGAAAAAGATTGTTTATTTCGATAGACATATTAAAGAAACTGAGAAATTGAAAGTAATTAAGTACCATCCAAGTCCCAAGGGTCATATGGATAGAGATCAAGATCAGGGATTATGTCAGGGTGGTAAGGTAAGAGAGATGCCTTGCGTTGAAGGAAGTGGACGACGAGTTCTTCATCTGTAGGACAGAATCGAAAACCAGGTGGGAGATTGACATTGTTGCTGTCACCCATGAGAAAAACGAAGACCAATAAGTAGATAAGTCTATGGGTTGTTTAAAATCAACGAAATTAGGATTAAGGAGTTGAAGTTGTTTATGATATTGTGGGGTTGGAAAATGGAGTAATGGAAGGTTTGGATGTGGGCATTATATATAGTGTTGGAGAGAGAAAAAT